TGGTTTGAGGCTTTGTTTGTTGTTGTTTACATATCTCTTTCAGGTGTAAGCTTAGTTTTTGTATTTGAGATTTTTCTTACTTCTTGAAGGAGGCCTCTATTACTCTATATTTCCCTTTTTCTACAGCTTATGCTTCATCCCAAAGGTCTTGGGCCATCTTGTTTTCATTATCATTTGTTTCTGTGTATTTTTTTTTTATTTCTTCTTTAATTCCCTGGTTGATCCATCCATTCCTGAGTAAGATGTCCTTTAACCTCCATGTATTTTTGATGTTTCCATTTTTTTTTCTTGTGGTCGATTTCAAATTTCATGACATTGTGGTCAGAAAACATATATGTTATGATCTGAAAGTTTTTTTGTACTTGTTGAGGCCTGATATGTGACAAAGTAGGTGATCTATTCTGGAAAATATCCTATGTGCACTTGGAAAAACATGGTAATCTGATAGTTTAGGAAGAAATGTTTTGACTATATATGTTAAGCCCATTTGGCTCAGGGTGTCATTCAAAGCTATTGTTTCCTTGTTGATGTTCTGCTCATATTATCTTTCCATTGCTGCAAGTGAATGTTAAATTCCTCTCCTATTATTTTATTATTACCAATTAGTTCCTTTATGTTTGTTATTAATTGTTTTATAAATTGCAGTGCTTTCCTTTTGGGTGCATAAATATTTGCAATTGTTAGATATTCTTGTTGGATAGCCTCCTTCATTATGATACAACGTCCTTCTTTATCTCATATTATAGTCTTCAGTTTAAAATGTAGTATGTCTGGGGGTGCCTGGGTGGCTCAGTCGGTTGGACATCCAACTTCAGCTCAGGTCACGATCTCATGGTTTGTGAGTTCCAGCCCCGCCTCAGGCTCTGCGCTGACAGCTCGGAGCCTGGAGCCTGCTTCGGATTCAATGTCTCTGTCTCTGTCTCTCTCTGCCCCTCCCCCGCTCATGCTCTGTCTGTCTGTCTCTCTCTCAAAAAATAAATAAATGTTAAAAAAATTTTTTTAAATGTAGTATGTCTGTTATAAATATTGCCAGTAAAGCTTTCTTTTGACATCTATTTGCATTGTAAATGTTTCTGCATCCCCTCACTTTCAGTTTGCTTGTGTCTTGAGGTCTAAAATGAGTCTGTTGTAGTCAGCATAAGTGTGTCTTTTTCTCTTACATATCCATTTGGACACACTGTTTTTTGATTAGATCATTTATTCAATTTACGGTGTATTTTTTTTTTCAGAATAATTATCGATATATCATAATCAATGGTCTTAGTGCTGTTGTAGTGATTGTTTTGTAATTATTTTGAGAGATACTCTCTGTGTCTTTCTAGTCTTCTTCCCATTGAAAGAGTCCCCTTTCATGATTCTTGCAGGACTGGTTGAGAGTACTCTATTTGTTTTTGTTTATCTGTGAAACTCTTTATCTCTCCTGTTCTGAATGATAGCCTTGCTGGATACCTTACTACTGACTGCAGATTTTTCCCATTCAGCACATTGAATATATCATGGAACCCTTTTCTGGCCTGCCAAGTGTCTGTGGAGAAAACTGCTGCTAACCTTATTGGTCTACCTTTATGAGTTAGTGACTTCTTTTGTCTTGTTGCTTTTAAGATTTTTTCTTTATCTTTATATTTTGCAAATTTAGACACAATATGTCTTGATTTTTACCTGCTTTTGTTCATTTTGATGGAAGTTATATGTGCGTCCTGAATTTGGAAGTCTATTTCCTTCCCCAGATTGGGAAGTATTCAACTATAATTGTCTCAGATAAACCATCTGCCACCTTTTCTCTCTCTTCTTCTGGGATTGTTATTGTAAGAATGTCATTACATTTAATGAAATCACTGATTGCATATGTCTACTTTCATGGTTCAAAATTTTCCTTCTCTCTTTTGATCACCTTCTTTATTTTCCATAAATCTATCCCCTTTGTCACCTCTTCCTTCCTCTGCTTCTTTCATTCTTGGAGTCATTGAATCCAGTCAGATTTGAATCTCCATTATTGCATGTTTCATTTCAGCATGATTGGTTTTAAGATCTTTTCTATTTGGGGTAATAGGCTCCCTGGTGTCTTCTATGCTTTTCTCAAGCATAGGTAGTATTCTTATAATTGTTGCTTCAAATTGCGAATCATGTATATTACCTATATCTGTTTCACATGGATCACTGGCTGTGACATTTTGTTGTACTTTTTTGGGGGAATGAGTTGGTCTGTCTTGAAATTTTGTCTAAGTCTCTTTTCTTCTGTGTTAGGTATGTCTGTTATGTTTTGTGCTCCTGAGAGTAATGGCTTTATGAAGAGCAGGTCAAATCATGTCCAGAGACCCATGCTTCAAAATGTATCTGTGGTGTGGCACTCTGCTGCTGTTATGCATGCTCTATTCCTCAAGTTAGTCCTCTTGAGTTTTTCCTGCAAGCTGTGGGGAATGTATGGACCTTGGCCACAAATTGTCAAATTTTAAACAGGTGTCCTCTAATCTACTTGTTAATAAGGATGTGAGTCTATTCCCCTTGTACTTCCCCTTATACATGAATCTTTGCAGAACTCTATGATTGGTAGAGGTGGTGCATAAGAAGGATTCTGCTGGTCCTCTGGAGGGGACCTGCTTTGCTAGTCCTTTGACACACTTGCCAGAGAAAAGTAGTACCAGTAGAATGCCGGGCAGTGGGGCTGGGTGTAAGCAACTGAAACAGCCAATGTTGTCACTGTGCTGTTTAATGAAGTTAGTTTATGCTGCAGGACAGAGGAGGAAAATTATCACTCCAGCTCCATTGTCCCCAGAATGGGTAGTTTCTGCTGTCTGCAGTCAGGGAAGCTCTCCCAGAAGAGTAGATAATTTCCCCTTTTGTGTGATAGTTTTTTTGAGACTGCTGTTTTTACACTGTTTCTGGTTTTCCTGCCTGACTGGAGAAGCACATTGTGCTTTGTTTCTATCCTGGCCAAGCCAGCTGAGTTTTAAAATCCAAACTTTAGGGACCTGGTGTGGTGGCAACATATATAATGTTACTTAGCTTTAAAAAAATAATGAGATCATGCTATTTTCCAAAACATGCATTGTTCAAGAGGGTATTATGATAAGTGAAATAAGTCAGACAGACATGTACCATATAATTTCACTCTATGTGGAATCCAAAAATTCAAAACAAAAAACAAAAACAAAACAAAACAAAAAACAAGGAAACAAGGAAACAAGGAAAAGGCAAACTGTTAAACACAAACAATAAATTGTTGCCACACAGGTGGTGGGTGTGGACAAGGGCACAATAAAAAGGATTAAGAATGCAAACATCTACTTATAAAATAAATAAGTCACAAAAATGAAATGTTCAACCTAAAGAATATAGTCAGTAATGGTATAATAGTGTATGGTGACAGATGGTGACTATACTTATTGTGGTGAATATTGAGCAAAGCATAGAAATGTCAAATAAATATGGTGTACACCTGAAAAATTCAATAATATAGGCTAAATTCAATTTAAAAAATACATTACAAAAAACAAAACAAAACAGTATTTTCTTTCTATATGGAAAGCTGTCTCCAGAGATGGCACTTGAACTTCTACTGTGTCTAAAATCTCCTACTTCCCAAGATACCTGTGTATATGATTAAGCCCAGAACTCACAATTCAAAATTCCTGCAATAGGAATAAGTACTACTTGTCTTCAATCTCTGACTACCCCAGATTCACATTATCTTTTCAGCTCCAGGGGCCTGTCTCCCCAAAGGCCTAGACTCATTCAGCTAGACTGTGTCCTGGGAATAGGACTAGGAATAATGTTCAATATCTACATCTTACAGTATTGCACTCATTATAACTAAATGCAAGTACATGCATCTGTCCCAGTCCAAAGTGACAAAGAGAGTGTAATTTCAGTTTTCAAAAGTGCTCTGGTCTTTCCTAATGATTCCACACTTTTCAGTACTTAATAACTTTTTTCATTGATATTGTGATTTCTTTAATTTTTTAATGTTTATTTATTTTTGAGAGAGAGAGAGAGAGAGAGGAGGCGCAAATAGAGAGGGAGACGCAGAATCCGAAGCAGGTTGCAGGCTCCAAGCTATCAGCACAGAGCTCGAGTTGGGGCTGGAAGTCATGAACCATGAGATCATAACCTGAGTCAAAGTCGAACTCATGAACCATGATATCATGACCTAAGCCGAAGTCGGATGCTCAAACAACTGAGCCACTCAGGCACCTCGATATTGTGATTTCTTAACCAAAGCAGAGGAATGCTACTTACCTTAGAAACAAGGCTTGGTTTACTCCTAGATATCTTACCACTTATTCTCAAATTGTAATACCAAAAGTTAAATGGCATCAATTTCCATGTAGCCTGGGAAGCTCCATGTCTTTTTCCTGGATTTGATCTGTTTCTTGTGCATTAATACTTTGTATTGTTTTAGCCCATCAGGTAATTATAAATAAAATTTAAATTCTAATGTTAATGGTTCTTAATAGTTTTGTAAATTATCAAGTAAATTTTGATACAGCCACATTCTTCATGGTGTGGCTCCTGGCTGCACAGCATTGGCATTTCTCATATGGGACCTTGTTAGAAATGACAATACTTGAGCTTAACGCAGAAATATTGAATCAAAAATTAAGGGATGTGTCCCAGAATTATGTGCTCTCCATGGCATTCTGATCGATTCTTGGTTTTGAGAACATTTACTTTAGCTGGTCCTTAGAAATAACTTAATGAACATAACAGTACATTGTTTCTGCCCTAGTTCTCTGAAACTGACAAATCACAGCTCCTCCTTAGGGATGTTGTCAGAACAATGTTCATATATATTAAACAGTTAAATAGCCCTTACTTAAGTTCTCATCCTGGGCTCTCTTTTTTTGACATGGATAAGATTAGTCCTATGGCAACTTGCCTTGCATACACAATTCCTGCAGTCTTTTCTTTGGATTCATGTTGGTCAGGCACAACTTGAATTTGTGACCCTGTCCTATAAACAAATGCTTGAACTGCTCTGAGTTAGAAGTAAACCAACTCACCATGCTTCTTCTTGAGTGAACCTACAAGGAAAAAGAAAAAGAAAAAGAAAAACAGACAAAAATGAATTTATTAGTAGAACTCATCTATGGTGTGGTTGAGCTTCTCTTTTGGCTCACAAGAGGATACTCTATTAATCCAATTTGACATTCAGGTTTTTAGAGAGTTTCCTTCCACTGTTTAAAAGCATCATGAAGTTTTGTGTGTGCGTGTGTGTGTGTACATATATACCTATATTTTAAACCTAAAATAGTAGAATACAGGATTAATAAAATGGGAAATAAAGGTAAAACTTTAAAAGACTTTATTTTTTTTACCATTTATTTATTTCTGAGAGACAGAGAGAGACAGAGCATGAGCAGAGAGAGAGGGAGACAGAATCCTAAGCAGGCTCCAGGCTCCGAGCTGTCAGCACAGAGTCCGATGCGGGCTCGAACTCACAAACGGCAAGATCATGACCTGAGCCTGAGTCGGATACTTAACCGAGCCACCCCGGCGCCCCTAAAAGACTTTAAATCAATAGCCTGGGGTTAATTATTTCTAACTGCAATGCAATCATTATAGAGAAAAATACCTTATTATTTTAAATATTGTGAATATATATATACATATATACACACACACACCATATGTAAATTATATAAATATATAAGAATATATGTAGAATAGATAGGAAGATAGATAGATGATAGATAAATATAATTATAAGATACCATCTGACTTCTTAATTATTATTAAGTGTATAATCTTTGGCAGTAGTACATTCCACTGTTGTGCAAATATCACCACTATTTCTGAAATATTTTTATCACCCTGCACGGAATATCTATATTAATCAGTAACTTCCCACTGTCTCAAACCTCCAACTCCCTTTAACTCTATGTCTGTTTCTATAAAATCTGATTAGTCTAGCTATTTAATATCAGTTAATCATGCAATATTTCCCTTTTTGTGTCAGGCTTATTTTACTTGGTATAATGTTTTCAAGGCTCATTCGTGTTGGACTATACATCACAATATCATCCCTTGCTATGAATAATGAATAATATTTCACTATTTTATGTAATATAATTTGCCCATTCATGTAATGATGAACATTTGTGTCGTTTCTATATTTTGGCTGCTATACATAATGCCACGATGAACATTGGCATAAAGAAACTCTTCAACTCCTTGTCTTTAATTATTTGGAGGTATGTTACTAGGAATGGAATTGCTTGATCATATGGTAATTATATTTATAGTTTTTTTGAGGAACTGCCAAAAGTTTTCCACAATGGCTGCAGCATTTGAAATTCCCACCAGCAATGTCCAAAGGTTGTAATTTCTCCATATTCTCCCCAACACTTGTTATTTTCACTTTTAAAAATAATATAGCCCTCCTAAAAGGTGTGAAGTGGTATCTCATTGTGGTTTTGGTTTTCATTTCCCTAATGACTAATAGTGTTGAGCTTCTTTTCATGTACTTCTTTGCCATTTTATATCTTCTTTAGAAAAATATGTATTTTTTTTTCTATTTTCAAATTAGGGTTGTTTGTTTTGTTGTTGAATTTGTAAAGTTCTTTATGTGCTCTTGAGATAAAACCCTTATTTGATATATATTTTGCAAATATTTTCTCCCATTCGGTAATTTGTCTTTTATCTCTCTTGGTAATATCCTTTGATACAAAGTTGTTTTAAATGTCAATGAAGTTATGGGGCGCCTGGGTGGCGCAGTCGGTTAGGCGTCCGACTTCAGCCAGGTCACGATCTCGCGGTCCATGAGTTCGAGCCCCGCGTCGGGCTCTGGGCTGATGGCTCAGAGCCTGGAGCCTTTTTCCGATTCTGTGTCTCCCTCTCTCTCTGCCCCTCCCCCGTTCATGCTCTGTCTCTCTCTGTCCCAAAAATAAATAAAACGTTGAAAAAAGAAAAAAAAAATAAATGTCAATGAAGTTCTGAGCACCTTGCTGGCTTAGTCTGTGGAGCAGGCAGCTTGATTGTGCAGTTATATGTTTGAGCCCCACATTGGGTGTAGAGATTCCTTAAAAATAAAATCTCTAAAAAGTTAATTAAAGAAGTCAGTGAAGTTCAATTTATGTGTTTTGTTTCCCCCTTTGGTGTTTGTGCTTTTGGTGTCCTGTTTAAGAGTACAAGGTCATGACTTGCCCATGTTATTTATTCTATACTTTTTTATTAATCTTTATTTCACTGATATATTTTGAGTTAGTTTTTCTATATATATGAAGCAGAGATCCAACTTCATTCTTTTGCATGTGGAAATGCAGTTATTCCAGAAACACTTGTTAAAGGGACAATATTTACACATAGAATGGACTTTGAGCTTTTGTGAAAATTCAATTTGCAGTAAAGGTATAGGTTTACTTATAGACTCTCAATTCTATTTCATTGATACAGATATGATATACATGATAAAGAGATGAAAGATAGATAGATAGAAGTTATACAGATAGATAGGTATTTATTCAATAACCACACCTTTTTGATTACTGTAGCTTTGCAGTAAGTTTTGAAATGAGAAATTATGATCCCTCTAACTTTGTTCTTCAATTTCAAGATTTTTTTTGTTGTTGCTATCCATGGCCTCTTGTGATCCATAAAAATTTGTATACCAGTTTCCCCACTGTAAGAAGTGAGCTTGGAGTTTTGATAGTGATTGCATTAAGTCTGCTGATCACTTAAGTAATATTGGCATCTTAATCATACTAAATTTGCATTTTTATGAATTCGTGATTTCTTTCCATTTGAAGTCTTTAATATCTTTCATAAATGGTCTGTAGTTTTTAGTGTGCAATTTTTTACATCCTTGTTTAATTCATTTCTCCTTGCTTAATTTTTCTAGACACTATTGTAAACAGAACTGACTTTTTAATATATTTTTTTCTGATTTTTTCCAGGTCTATAAATATGTAACTAATTTTTGTGTGTTGATTTTCTACCCTATGAATTTGATAAATTGATTCGTTATTTCTATTAACTTTCTTGTGGGTTGTTTGATTTCAACATAGAGGATGATGTCATCTGTGAATAGATTTTGTTTCAATTTTTATTTTCCAATATGAATATCTTGTATGTATTTTTCTTTTCCTGTTGCTCTGGATAGAACTTTCAGTACAATGTGTTGAATAGACATGGTAAAACTGGCAAATTGTTCTTGTTCCTGACTTGAGGAAGAAAGCTTTCAGTTTTTCCCTTTTCATATAGTGCAAGCTTGTGGATTTTGAAAACCTTCCCTTTCTTATGTTGAGGTAATTTCCTTATATTTGTATATTTATTAATGCTTTTAATAAGAAAGAGTGATAGATTTTTTTTAAATGTCTTTTCTGTGTCACTTGAGATTATCATGTAGGCTTCTACCCTTTAATTCACTAATATGGCCAATTACATTATTTGGTTTCCTTATATTGAAACACTCTTGTATTCCCGGGAAAATTCCACTTGGTTATAGTGCATGAATCTTTTCATATGCTGTTTAAGATGCTTTTAGATTCAGTTTGGTTGCATTTTGTTAAATACTCTTAAGGATATTAGTCTGTATCCTTTTTTTTTTCTTTCTTTCTTTCTTTCTTTCTTTCTTTCTATCAATCAGGCTTTGGTATCAGGGTAATGCTTGCCTCATAAAATGATTTATGGAGAGTTCTGGACTCTTCTATTCCTTGGAAGTGCTGTGAAGCATGGTTTTTAATTCTTTAAATTTTTATATAATTCACCACTAAAGTCATATTGCCCTGAAAATTCTTATTTTGAAAGACTTATGTTTACGTATTCAATTTTGTTACTTTTTATAGGTCTGTTGTGATATGGTAGATTATTTTGAGTCAGTTTCGATAATTTTTGTGTTTCTAGAGATTTGTTCAATATGTCTTGATTATGCAATTTTTGGTAAGCAATTGTTCATAATATTCTCATTGTAACTCGGATTTATTCACAGATCCTAGTACTGTCCCCTTTCATTTATGCTTTGTTTGTGTTCTCTTTTCTTCTATTTTTCTTTCCAGTCTAGTCAAATGCTTTTAAACTTTTTTGACCTTATAAAAGGCACTATAAAGTGACACTTTATTTTTTTTCTAATCTATATTGTTTCCTTTTCTTCTCTCAGCTTTTCATTTAAATTGCTCTTTTTTTTTAATCTTCTACTTCCTCACGTCTAATTTTATTTACTAAGGATGTTAATTTAGAACTGTGTTGTTTACAACTATAGTTTTCTCTATGGCCACTTTCTTCACTGTATTCCGTAAACTTTGTTATGTTGTGTTCTATTTCACTTTCATTCATCTATATTTTCTAATTTCTATCATAATTTTTACTAAATTGTTTTGTATTGTTGAGTTTTTACGTATTTCTAAATTTTCCAAGTGACGTTTAAAAAGTCTAAATATGACTTCAAACTTTCAAAGTGGATTAAGGCATGCTTATTGAGTCACCGTCCAATTTACACTTGTAATGAAGATCAGTCACCCCAACCAACACTATAACTTTTTTCTGCCTGTTGGCTCAGACACATAAGGATTCCTATGTGGCCAGGTGGCATTCTCAACTTCCAGTTCGGTTGGAATTATTGTTGTATATCCCAATGGAACATTCCTCCCTCTGGAACAAAGTCTGCTAGGCCAACAGAACATAAAGTCATGGGAAAAAAATTAAAATTTTGTTTATGGTTCACTGTAGGTAACTGTGAATGATGCCACTCCATTGGCTCTGCTTTGATTTCAAGATTTGTGAATTAAGATAATCAGCACCATTGATTGAATGCTGATTCAGAGCAGACACATTCTTCAGGAGAAAGTTCTCCTGGTCCTGTGAATATTGCAACCTACTTGGTGTTCTACTTGAGCATTTAAAGTTTATTTACTACCTTTCCCTTCGTTGAGATATCACACTGTTCCATAATATTGATGACATGCTGATTGGACCTAGTGATAAATTGTAACAACTATTCTATACTTATCAGTAAAAAAGGGGGTGGAAACATTTCAGACTAAAATTCAGGGCTTGTCTAGAAACTTCTAAGGGTGCAGTGGTTTGG